GAAGACTAAATACTGCTTTCTGAAGACTAGATACTTCCGACAGGTCTAAATACAGCGTCTGGAACACTAAATACTGCCTTCTAAAGACTAAAATTGCTCTGTGGAGACTAAATACTGCTTTCTGAAGACTAGATATTGCTGACAGGTGTAACTACTGCAAAAAAAAGATAAGATATTGTTGGAGAAAACATACATAACGTTGCAGAAGACTAGATATTGCTTCCTGAAGACTAGATACTTCCGACAGGTCTAAATACAGCGTCTGGAACACTAAATACTGCCTTCTAAAGACTAAAATTGCTCTGTGGAGACTAGATACTGCTTCTAGAAGGCTAAATACTGCTTTCTGAAGATTAGATACTTCCGACAGGTCTAAATACAGCGTCTGGAACACTAAATACTGCCTTCTAAAGACTAAAATTGCTCTGTGGGGACTAAATACTGCTTTCTGAAGACTAGATACTGCTAACAGGTCTAAATACTAGCGTCTGGAACACTAAATACTGCCTTCTAAAGACTAAAATTGCTTCTAGCAGGTCTAAATACAGCGTCTGGAACACTAAATACTGCCTTTTAAAGACTAAAATTGCTCTGTGGAGACTAAATACTGCTTTCTGAAGACTAGATACTGCTAATAGGTGTAAATACTCCAAAAGAAAGATAAAATATTTTGGAGAAAACATACATAACCTTGGTAGAAGACTAGATACTGCTTCTAGAAGACTAAATACTGCTTTCTGAAGACTAGATACTTCCGATAGGTCTAAATACAGCGTCTGGAACACTAAATACTGCCTTCTAAAGACTAAAATTGCTCTATGGAGACTAAATATTGCTTTCTGACGACTAGATACTGCTGACAGGTCTAAATACTCCAAAAGAAAGATAAGATATTGTTGGAGAAAACATACATAACGTTGGCAGAAGCCTAGATACTGTTTCTAGAAGACTAGATACTGCCGACAGGTCTAAATACAGCGTCTGGAACACTAAATACTGCTTTCTAAAGACTAAAATTGCTTTGTGGAGACTAAATACTGCTTTCTGAAGACTAAATACTGCTTTCTGAAGACTAGATACTGCTAACAGGTCTAAATACTCCAAAAGAAAGATAAAATATTTTGGAGAAAACATACATAACGTTGGCAGAAGACTACATACTGTTTCTAGAAGACTAAATACTGCTTTCTGGAGACTAGATACTTCCGACAGGTCTAAATACAGAATCTGGAACACTAAATACTGTTTTCTAAAGACTAAAATTGCTTTGTAGAGACTAAATACGGCTTTCTGAAGACTAGATACTGCTGACAGGTCTAACTACTACAAAAGAAAGATAAGATATTTTGGAGAAAACATACATAACCTTGGTAGAAGACTAAATACTGCATTCTGAAGACTAGATACTTCCGACAGGTCTAAATACAGAATCTGGAACACTAAATACTGTTTTCTAAAGACTAAAATTGCTTTTGGTAGAAGACTAAATACTGCATTCTGAAGACTAGATACTTCCGACAGGTCTAACTACAGCGTCTGGAACACTAAATACTGCCTTCTAAAGACTAAAATTGCTCTGTGGAGACTAAATACTGCTTTCTGAAAACTAGATTCTGCTAACAGGTCTAAATACTCCAAAAGAAAGATAAAATATTTTGGAGAAAACATACATAACCTTGGTAGAAGACTAGATACTGTTTCTAGAAGACTAAATACTGCTTTCTGAAGACTAGATACTGCCGACAGGTCTAAATACAGCGTCTGGAACACTAAATACTGCCTTCTAAAGACTAAAATTGCTTTGTGGAGACTAAATACTGCTTTCTGACGACTAGCTACTGCTGACAGGTCTAAATACTGCAAAAGAAAGATAAAATATTTTGGAGAAAACATACATAACCTTGGCAGAAGACTAGATACTGCTTCTAGAAGACTAAATACTGCTTTCTGAAGACTAGATACTGCCGACAGGTCTAAATACAGCGTCTGGAACACTAAATACTGCTTTCTAAAGACTAAAATTGCTTTGTGGAGACTAAATACTGCTTTCTGAAGACTAGCTACTGCTGACAGGTCTAAATATTGCAAAAGAAAGATAAGATATTGTTGGAGAAAACATTAAAAACCCCTTTTAGGCGGCGCCCGGGTGCAGTGCACCCCTTGCACCCCCCGGTAGCGTCGCCCCTGCATATGAAAAGTTGAATCAATTGTATGTTATTGATAAACAGACGAACAAGGTCAACACCATTCAATTTGACTTATGTTTATTATTTTGTAAGTGACGCGGTCCTTTTAGTTGTGTGATGTGAAATTTAGTATAAGAGAAAGCCTTGTACATATACAGATATAATTAATTATCATACCCAACGTCATCATTGCAAGTATGCAACCAACATCACAGTATTCGTATTGCAATACGCGATTTGCGTATTTGGTTGCATACTTGAGGATGACGTCGGGTACTAGAATTACTAATTTCTTACTTTCCCATAAACAGGATTAGCAGCAGCTAAAACCGAACACCGTGCATTTAAACTGGCGTGAATCCCAGCTTTCGCAATTGTAACTCTTCCTTGTTCCATAACTTCGTGAATCGCGGTACGATCCATATCGGACATTTTATCAAATTCATCGATACAAACAACACCTCGATCTGCTAAAACCATCGCCCCAGCTTCGAGACGTCTCTCCCCTGTATCTTGATCCGTCGTAACCGCAGCGGTTAAACCAACCCCCGAGGATCCACGACCCGTCGTTGGTATAGCTCTTGGAGCCGTGCACAAAACGTATCGTAAAAGTTGTGATTTCGCAACGGATGGATCTCCGATTAATAAAACGTTAATATCACCTCTTAACCGGGTTCCGTTAAGCAAGTTTTTTTCGACCCCGCCCAATAATAAGCATAAAATGGCTTTTTTGATGTATTCGTGTCCGTGAATCGACGGAGCTAAAGATTTCGATAATAAATTAAAAACGTTTTTATTGTCTTTAACTAATTGTTTGCATTTGGCGATATCATCCCTTGAAATCGAAGGATTTGCTTCTTTGCTGAGTTGAGTGATGTTATTGGCGATAACGACCGTACGGAAAGTTCCCGTGGTGAAACTTCCTTGTTTATTGGGCATACATCGGTAATTCCCAACGATTTGTACCCGATCCCCTGGTTTACATAAATCAACTAAATCGTTATCGCAAATTATATCGACCGAACGGGGTAATTGCCCCGCAGGGGCCTTTTCTGGCATTTCTTGTATTGAAATTGTTTGGTGATCTTTATAGTTTGATAAACCAAATTCCGTTTCTAAAGTATTGCCTTCATCATCTTTCGTGGGGTAAACTGAGCTTGATGGAAATGCTTCTAAAGAAGTTAAATCCGTGTAACGACGCTCCATCGTTTTTTTAGTAACCGGACAATAATGCACGCTTTTTACCATCTTTGGATAAACCAAAGAACATTTAGTTACGATTCCTTCTACGCAAATTAAATTCCCCAAAAATCTTGAGTGCAAACTCCGTGGGGTTACGTGTTTATTTCCAAAGCTCCCTTCAAACCCAATAAAAACATCTTCGTACGTTTTACTGTCGTAGTCGGGAGCTGCGATCGGGATAAATTCTTTTAAAGCTTTTTGAAAGGCAAGTTGTTCTTCGAAGGCGTTGTTTAAAAGATGTTTGGCTCGAGTTGGATTTTTTCTTCTTAAATCATTTACATTAACAATTAATCGTTTGCCATTTTCGGCTACCATGCTTTTTACAAGGGTTACATATTTACCTTGATGTTCCTAAAACATAAACTTAATTTTAATCTAACTTAATTTTAACTTTTTAGTTATAACCTCATCATCTAAGAAATCCTCGTATTCTTTTACGATTTCTTGCAAATCTTGATCGACTATTTGTTGATTAATCATTTTTATTCGGGTTTAGCTTAAAAATAGGCGAAATACATTAAAATAACCTTTTTAAGATTCTTCGTGTTTTGTGGTGTGTTTTAGGCGGGAAAATAATCGCGTGAAGTTAGCCACGATCAGCGTAGCCAACCTATGCCGACCAAATGTCGGTAAAATCAATAGTAGGTTTCAATACAAAGTTAGAAAATGTATGTATATCGTGTATATAAGTTGTGAGTTACACACGGAAGGTAGTATTTTTAAAAAATCGCTACTTTGTTGAATGTTTGATTAAAATTATTGTTTTTCAGGATTTTTTGACAAATTGTTAATGGTAGCACTTTGGATTCGGAGCGTGTTACAAAAAAACTTTTACAATAAAAGTTGTAGCAAATTTTATTATTAAGAAATTGCTCTCTGGTAGTTTTGCTCTTAGATGCGTCAATATTGAGATAGATGCGAAAACATCAAAATTTGATGAATTTATTGCTTTTTCAAGTTATTAAAGGTAACACTTGGGAATTGGAGCATGCTATAAGAAATCTTTTATAACCAAAATTGTTGCAAATTTTATAGTTAACAATATTGCTCTCTTGTACTTTTGCTCTTAGATACGTCAATATCGAGATAGATACGAAAATATGAAAACTATGAATTTGTTGCTCCTTCAAGTTATTAAAGGTAACACTTGGGAATCGGAGCATGCTATAAGAAA